AAGAGCTGGTCTTGCTGCTTCTACGGTCGCTGTAAGTTCTCTCTCTCTCTCTCTATTTCTTGTGTTTTTTTATGTGTTGAACATTTTTTCTCTTCTTTTGGCATATCTGTCTGAACTTTATAAGCAGACTCATAATCTCAACGTAACAGTTGTTCCACACTAAATGAATTATGGGTCCTGGTAATGGTGCAGGCAATGGGATTCTCCCTCGTGCTGCTTGTGGTTGTAGCTTTCCGATGGTTTTGGTGAGATATATACCCAATGCTTAGCGGTATGTATAGTGTATGTATGCATATATATATATATATGTACACATACATACATATGCATGTATACATATAGGTCCGGTGATTGTCAAAGAAAGAGACAGTGGGACTTCTCTCGTATGCTAATGCCATTTAATCTATACATATACAAAGATCATGGAATCATGAATAAATGGATACTGCTCATCTACCTGCCTTACCAAATTCGATTCAGAAGGATACGTTTGCCTTATTGCGTGGTGGTTTGGATTATCCGTGTGGAACACCATGCCGTTTTTACGCATTCGTAACAACGTGGCGTGCTTCGCCCTTAAGGTAAGCCGGCGCGATTTTTTTGTTGGGTCGTTGTGCAATCACATGTACAGGACCACGGAGCTTTGATTAGGTTTACGCCACGACAAATGCGTTGATCTCCGATTCAATAATTGAACACGAACTGGTTGTCCTAATTATCTCTATTTATCTATTCATTTTATCTTTGTTTATGTATTGAGAGATGCTCTACGAACGCGGCATCCTATCGGTCCAATTATTTAAACGACCGCTTTCTCTATCCACGCAAAACGCTCCTACCTACGCGCCTAAATTATGCAATGCCCTAAATAGGTTTGGGAAGATATTTTTGTGGTTGAAGGAAATCGGATCATTTGTCTCATATTTTTTTTTTGGTTAATTCGTAGAGTTTCTAAGCTGTATTTTTCTGATGAATTTTATTTAGTATGCAGTTATGCGCTCGAATACCTTTGTTGTTTTCATCTTGTAAATAGTATAATTCGTGACATTTATATTAACTGTTTAGACGCCGACTAATCAATTAATTTGAATCTCTATCCTTTTTTTTTCTTTGGTTTTATATTTTTATTGATTTATTAATTTGAACTTTTCTTTTTTTTTTTCTTGCACTTTAGGCACTGTGACGGGACATTGGGAAAAAAGGTGGAGACCCAAGTTTCATCATACTGCTTTTCTTTTTTTTTTCTGGCCTACAAAAGCTGCTGCGATGCCCCATCATTTCAGGACAAGCAATTTTCAAGCATGAAGTTATTGTTATTATTTTTCAAAAATATCTAAATTTAACATCTTTACACTTTACATGGTTACTATTCGCCAGACGAACCAATGTATATGCAGTGTGTATATATATACACCCCCCCCCCCACTCAAGCCCTATTTATTTCTCTCCCGTAACAATCATTCCAAAAATGCTTACTTTAAGGGGGGAATTGCAAAAGGGCGGATGAGTGGACACCACTCTATCGATAAGGTGGAACGTTACACGACCCGAATATCGTTTTTTATTTACTTAATATTTCATAAAGTTGGCATATTTATTTTTTAATCCAGCCTTTCTCTTGGGCGATGGAATAAAGAGTATTCAAATTAATAAAAGACCCTTTGACCCCAACAAAAAGAAAAAAAAATGGTTTCGTAATAAAGGTACATGGGGGGGGCTTGGGATACTTTCCTTTTAGGTTCTACCTTTTATTTGTCCATATAAATATAAAACCCCTTTTGCCTCGTTATAGAGTTTAACATATTACGATGTATATAAATTCACACTAAGGCGACGAGTGACAGTGGAGGTGGATAATCAAGCCTTAGTTAGTGAATGCTATCCAAAGTTCGAACAGATTAAACACAGTGGATGGCTCAATTATAAAAGCATGGCTCAATTATAAAGGCAATACATGATATATGTGTGAGACAGTGGATAGTTTCAGTTTCTCATGCCTTTCGTGAATCGAATTTCTGTGCCGATCAACTCGCCTCTATGGGATATAATGTGTCTATCGGTTTGACGGTCTTTGAGTCTTCCCCGTCTGTCATGTCCGAGTTACTTTATGCTGATAGGATTGGAATTACAACCCCTTGTGGTTGCGTGATGTAATTCAAAATTTTAAATCCCTTATATAAAAAAAAATTACACTAAGGCTGTGAATAGCTATAATGCGATAGAAACGATTAGGGTCATCCTGTCTTGTTAGGGTTTGCAACGTATTTAAATATAATCTCCTCGACAGCCAAAATACGAGTGGGAGGAGAATATGAGGTGGCTCTACCATTGCTAATTTTCGGACAGAGTGTAATAATAAGGCCGTGGGGGAATTTTGGTTGGGGGGATGTTAAATAAAATAAAAAGTTAAAAATTATAATGATTACAACCACGCTCCAATTATTGCAATATGTTCAAATTACACCTTTTCTCTCTCTCTCTCTCCCTCTTTGTACACGTGGATTTCTCTCTCAAAATAATAATATAAATAATTGTATAAATATATTTCCATTTACTTGCTTGCTTGTATGATTCTTGTATTTCGAAGTGACTGTATAAAATTCATCATCTCTCTCTCTATATTCAAATTCTCAGGAACCGGAAGGATGGAGCAAAACGGAGATCAGCCGCCGCTGTTGTGGCCCCAGTTCGAATCCGCCGAATATCATCGCCGGAGATCTCCGGTTTCCGCCTTTTTCAGTCCGCCGGCGATCATCCTCACGTATGCGGTTGCTTTGCTTCTGGTTTCGATCTTCATTGTCCCTCCGTTTCTCTCCATCACGTCAACGATTCTCCGGCCAGTCTCCGTGAAGAAGAGCTGGGATTCTATCAACGTGTTCCTAGTCCTATTCGCGATTCTCTGCGGCGTTTTCGCACGATGGAACGACGACAAATCTCCTCCGTCGCCGCCGCCGCCGCCGCCGTCGCATGGCAGAGTCGAGCGTGCCGTCACCTGTGGTTCGATGAACGGTGGTGAAGATGGTAAGATGCCGTCGCAACAGTGGTTCAGTGACGTGTACGCTGCTGATAGGCTCAAGATCTACGAGAGCTTAAGGAGCTCTGCTCCTTCTCCGGTCACCGGAAGCGTGCGGTTACGGCGGAGCAGTACCTCGTACCCTGATCTGCGCCAAGGCTTTTTCGGTGAAGCCGGCGGCCACCATTTCAGATCTTACGATGATTTTGAAATTGATAAGTATCGCTCACCAGTGATGGCTAATTCGGATGGATACGACGGGGTTCAAAACCGCCGGGAAAATGAAATCGAGGAATCGGAACCGAAAGAAATACCGGTGGATAAGTTCGAGGTGAGGCCTCCTTCTCCACCGCGGGAACCACCGGCACCTCCACCTCCGCCGCCTACACAGCCACCGTCGGCCGAGGTTGTCCATAAGCCGAGAAGGAAGCATCGTTCTGTGAGAAGGAGAGGAACGCCCGAAAACCCAAGGCGCAGCGACACTGATTCTAATTCCACCAAATCTAAGCAAGAGCCTCCGCCTGTGCCGCCACCGCCGCCGTTTACGCCTCCGAGGACGGCGTTGAGGAACGAAACGGAGAGGAAGCAGGGGAGAATTGAGCGAAGAAAGAGTAATGCAGCGAAAGAGATTAAAATGGTTTTAGCTTCGCTGTATAATCAGAGGAAGAGGAAGAGGAAACTAAAGAAAGCGAAGAGCAATCAGGGGAACGAATCTCTAGAAACTGGACCGCCGCTTTACCAACCCACAGTACCACCTCCGTCTCCACCTCCGCCTCCACCTCCGCCTCCACCTCCGCCGCGATCATCGCAGTCAGTCTTTTACGGGTTGTTCAAGAAGGGAAGTAAGAACAAAAAGGTCCACTCCGTTCCCCTGCCGCCTCCGCCGCCGCCTCCTCCGTCGTCTAGAACCTCCAAGAGAAACATTCAGTTGGACCGGCCTTCTCCTCCTCCTCTTCCTCCACCTCCGGCGCCTCCGACACCTCCACGGCGGAGATCCAGCAAACCTCCACGCCCCGCCAAACCGTCGAGCTTCTACGAAGAGAATTACGTCAACAGCGGCCGAGAATCTCCGTTGATCCCTGTTCCTCCCCCACCTCCGCCGCCGTTCAGGGTTCCCCCGCTGAAATTCCTGGTGCGTGGGGATTTTGCGAAGATACAGAGCAACCAGAGCTCGAGATGTAGCTCCCCGGAGCGCGAGGTGATCGACCTCGGTTGGGGCCTCGAACTCACCCAATCCGAAGGCGGAGATCTCATTGGCAGGAGTGAAAATTCCGGTGGCCGGGGATTCTGTCCGAGCCCCGACGTTAACACCAAAGCCGACAGCTTCATCGCGAGGCTCAGAGACGAGTGGAGGCTCGACAAGATCAATTCCGTGAAGGAGAAAAAGAATCTGGGCTCCGGCCCAAGCCCAATATGAGATCAATATGAAAACGGCACGCAGTTCGCTCCGTTCTCGGTAAGGTACGGTACATCGGTGTTATCCGTACAAATTTTAGCGGCACGAGGCTCTGATCAGTTGGTACATTTTTTTTCTCGTTTAACCACTGGAAGGCCTTATGATGTATGTACGCGTGCATGTGTGTGTATTGGTGTTGATGATGTGAGGATATTTGCTGTCGGCTCTTACATTTTTGTGGGTCTATGACCTTTTAGAGCCCATTCTGTGTTTGCAATGCAAAGGTTTTCTATTTTTGTTGCTGCTTTCTATTTTGAGTTCCACGGATATTATTTTCATTTTAGGAAAGGATGCTCTTTTGGGTTCGAGATGCTTCCATGTGTTCGATAATTAACTGTTTTGGTCTTTCTACTAGTCTAAATTATGTTATTTTTTGGACCAACGCGCAACAGCTTTTTCGCATACGTCATGTGAATTTTGAATATTCGATACGTCCTGGTTTTTAAAGTTATCCATTACGAGATAAGAGTCTATGGCTTTGTAATTTTATTTTTTTTGCGAGATATATATATCCCTACTTTCCTTTCTTTTTTTTTTCTCGCCTTACGGTTACGATACGATTTTATTTTTTTAAAAGCGACAGCTGACTTGGTGAAATGTTAAAATTTTATGTCTGAAGAGGAGGATATTATTTTAGGAAATCATTTGATTTTTATATAGTGTTAAAATAAAAACGTTATGTGTATATACATGTGTGTGTTTTTGTATTAGAAAAGAGATAAAAGATGGGGTCCAAAAAAACCACAAAAAGGTAATAGCAGAAAAAAATTTATTTGAAATTAAAAAATTGAAGATAAGAAAACAAATTTTTTAAAAATTAAAACCATTTTCGTTAAAAGGGAAAAACATTAAAATTTTGAACCCATAAAGGTGGAATTAATCTTAAGGTCGGTGAGGGAGCGGGAAAAAACAGGGAAAAAGAACAATGACATGTTTGAAAAATAAAGGGGGAATAAACGTCCACGCGCCTGGAAAACTAAAAATCGAAAAAGTAGCCAAAATCCCTGGGTTTATAGGTTGGCGATTTGACGACGGTGACGTCCACGCGCGATTGCTGCGCGTATGCTTTTGAAAACTACCTCCTTCCCTCTTTTATTTTTATTTTTTAATATATATTTTTTTATTAGACCCACATCTTGCAAGTTCCGAGCGTCATCTAAAAATGATTTAGATACTTCTCGAAGATATTTTTAAAAGTTATTTTTAAATTAATTATTTTTTACAGTTTCAAATACAAAAATAACATTTGGAATAAATTTTGAATTTAAAATAAATCCTAAAAAACAAAGAAAATAGATTTGGATCAAATTATATTAAAAAAATCAATAAATTATCATACTTATAAACTTGTCACAGAAATATTGAAAATATTACATATACACAACATTATAAAACTATTCCAATTACAAAAAATAATATATATATATATATATAATATTTATGGAATATTCGAAATGATCATAATTAAACTCATTATAAACCCAATATTTTACATTAAATAAAACGAACGTAAAAATATAATTTATTTACATGATAGACGAAAATTTACATCATAAAAAAAATTTATATAATAAATATATTTGAATAATCACAAATCACATATTTTGTAATGCATTTATTTTAAAATCATTAACAAAAATCAAATAAATTATTTTTGTTTTATATTTAGAAGAAAATCATTTAAAAAATTAAATATAATTCATCTAATTAATTATTTTAGTTTTTTTATAGATAATTATATAAATAAGATAGCTTTTAATAAAGATTATCTACTAATTCAAAAATGATTATTTTAACTAAAAATTGTGAATAAAAGTATAAGTAAATGATGCTATAGGGTAAATTTAAGGACTCTTCGGCTATACTCAATTAATAGGTTTTTCGCTCTAGTTTAGTATGCTTAATTTAAAATTGTGAAGATGAAAACAGCCAGCTAATAGGAACACCACGCAGTCCTGATCGGGAAGCTAAAAACGATGCGCTTTCTCCAGCTTGAGCTCTACCTTTGAATTTGGCCATTTTCATATTTCATGGGATTGAACGTGAGAATCGTCGTCGTCTACTCTCAACACAGACACAGAGAGCTCTTCAACAATATAACCCACTGAAAGAAAACGAGTTACCTCGGCGGCCTTTCTGATTCAGATCTCCCCACCAATACCTAACAGACAGAACATCATCAACATCGTTACTGACATAAAACGCAAATAGAATAACTCATCGTACATAGCTATGCTGTGATAATCCATCACAATTTCACAAATAAAAAGATGACTATTTAAGCTAAGATTTATAAGCTCTAATAGTAATAGCACACCCTCATTAACCAACGAGGTAAGATGTCTCAAGGTAGAAATTGCCTCTTGGCATCCCGGATTAAGGTCTACACTAATATGGATTCAAGAATCAAAAAGCTACCTTGTATCAACTTGTTTTGTAGGCATGATGGCTTTTCCTCAGCCGTAAAGGATGCCTACTTCTGTTTTGCCTCGCTGACAGCAAGAAATGATGATGAATGCCTTCTCAGTGTATAAGTTTCTTACTGGGTATAGATTGATGAAGAAGAAAACAGTGCTCCCAGCAGCACAGAGTAAGCACGCAATCCGCAATCGGCTGTCTGTAATTGTATTACTATGTCTTCTTCCATTATCTGAAGAAAAGTCCGTTTGGTCCACATTTCAAGAGCATAGATCAACCATACATATCAGCTATACGTCAACACTAAGCAAAACAAACTTGATGGATCGTGGACAGACTAATAAACAAGACCAACACTTTGCAGGGGAGATGTACACTGATAATAGGTTATATCAGAGGTGGGGTGGTGTTTACGTGTTACACAGGAAAAACCTTTGCATCCCATGCAAGCAAATTAAGCTGCCTGGGCAGGCAGAGTAAAAGCTCCATATAAATCAAAATGCAGCCAATGATCGTGAAGATAAGCTCTGGCTCACCACACAAACAAAGAATTGTTTACAGTAAAAATCTACCAAAATAAGAAATCTAGTCATCCGGCATAGATATGCCCCTTTTTATCCTATGCATCGGTATAACGTCCTCACTTTTCTAATAGTCTTGAGTTTTACTTGTGAAGAAAAAATCTCATATCCAAACACATAAATCAGCAGAAACGGCGACAGAAAAATGAAGCATTCCTCTTAATTTTCTCATTTTCTCCTGCTAGTATCTGTACCTCTACTTCCACACCCTTCGATTGCCTCTACTCAGCAACCAAACATAGTAATTTGAGCTGACAATAACATACAAAGGAAATTCAAGAAACTCTGCGGAAACCCTAAAGGTTCCTTTTCTCTGGTAATAAGGTTTGAACAGAATCAATCATATTTTAATATCAGAGAGAGTCTGGATTAGTTAGTTAGTAAATGTGATTCATTAACTTCCTCTCACTCCAAACAGAAAACGAAAACCAATTGACCATAAAGTACTACCACAGAAAAAATCGAAAGCTAAGATTTGCCATGCTATTTCCCAGCAACCAAACAGAAAATCTACCAGAAACGAGCGAAGAGAAAGCTAAAATCATCCAAAACGTACCGTGTGAACGCATCACCGCTGACTCTGTTGTACGCCATGACAACGCCGGAGATGATCCCTAGGGTTCCGAACAGAGAAACGCGACGGCGAAGGAGATCTCCTTGGTCGGTGGGCCGGTGTCCCCACCATGAAGAACACGCGATCGACGAAAACCAACAAATGCGTGATCATATCAGCATCGTAATTTCTAGGGTTCCAAAGCTTTTTGCTCGCAGAGAGTTTGAAGAAGTTTTAAGGGCGGAAAAAGGGGGCGATGGATTTCGAAAACACAAATCCTGAGAGCGGTGGGACATGTATATATTATGCCGCCCTAGGAAAATTACGTTAAAGCCAGATGCTGCTCGACAAGCGTGCCGGCTTCAAATTTGAGGAAAAGAGTGCGTGCCGGCTAATAGTCGAGGAAAAACGAAGCCTTGTTTTGGGCTTTCCTGAAATATGTTTGGGCTTTTGAGGCCCACTAAAATATACGTTTCTAGGAAAGCCATTTTTATTTTAGTGGGTCTGAAAAGCCCAAAAAACAATTTAGGAAAGCCCAAAACAGCGTTTCATTGAGGATTTTGCGGCTCACCTTTGTCGGAAGTTACAAGGGTTTAGGACCTGAAGTTGTAGCAGAAACTGTTCAAGAATTCCATGCAGAATGAGGAGGAACACGCTCAGGGTTTTCCGTCATTAGAGGAATGAAGGCTGTGGTCGGAATCGGATGGAGAAGATGTTATCGCATCTGCATAACACAGCCAAGCACTCAATCAGCAGGCAGCATATAATTGTATTACTACTGTCTTCAAGAAAAAGCCTGTTTGGCCCACATTCCAAAACATAGATCATCTATATGGCAACACTATTGAATTCCACAGAGAATTCAGAAATGGAAAAGAGATTTCGGAATAATTTCGGTGTTATTCATTACAAAATGCTCATACAACGTATTTATACAAACTCAAATCTGAACCAAATCAATCTAAACCGAATATTAAACCAAATGCTAACCAATATTCTCTAATAAACACGAAGCAAAACACACTTGATGCAATCGCGCGCACACAAACTGAGAACAAAGACCATTTTGCTTTGCTGGGAATCTAATCTGTACAGGTGACAATGGAAAAGGAAAAACAAGCTAAGCTATCCGTTTATAGTAAAAGGCTAAAAGCTCCGTAACGCAACCAAGGATAGAGAAGAAAAGCCCTGCCTCACTACATAAACAAAGATTCGAATACAACGAAATAAGAAATCTGCTCATCCAGCAAAGATATGACCCATTTGGTTTCATGGATCAGATTTTTTTGGTTTCAGTCACTTGTCTATAAAGGAAGGAGATCTTGCTATAACGTACATATCAATTTGTTACTGATTCTAAGGAATTCTGTTTCCTATTCTATCTCCTCTTCCCTGTATATACTCTCGTGTAATTGCACAGAATGGAATACAAGAAAATCTGATTTACCACATTACAGTTTATGGTATCAGAGCCCTTACGTCCAAAGACAAATACACCGCATTGCGGGTCCTCTTGATTCTCCGCTTTTCATCTGCTAGCAATGGCATCTATTTCTCTGGGCAAATCTCCACACATTCACACACACTCTCTCTCTCTCTCTTCGATTGGCTCTACTTAGCAAACGAACATAGTAATTTGAGATGGCAATAACATGTAAAGGAAATTCATGGAATTCTGGGGAAACCCTAAAAGTTCCTCTCTCCGGTAATAAGATTTTGGACAGATCCAATCATATTTCAATTTCAGAGAAAAATCCATGATTAGTTAGTAAATACTAATCGATTAACTTCCTCGCACTCTCAAACCGGCCAAACAGAAACTGAAAACCCAATTAGCCATAGTACTGCCACAGAAAAGAAAAATCGCAATCCAAGGTTTCTCATACTTTTCTCAGCAATCAAAGAGAAAATCAACAAGAAAACGAGCAACGAGAAAGCTAACAACATCCAGAGACGTACCATGCGCCGCATCGCCGCCGACTCTGTTATACGCCATGGCAAAGCGGGAGATGATCTCTAGGGTTCCAAACACGAGATTGAAAACAATTGCATGAGAGCGGTGAGGTCGTTGGGATATTATTATGCAGTCCTATAAATCAAATCACGCTAGCTGAAAGGCAAGCGTGCCGGTTTCATATTTGAGGAAAAGAAAGCGTGCCGGCTTAATGGTGACGGAAAACGTGGCGCTGTTTTGGGCTTTCCTGAAACATACATGGGCTTTTAGGCCCACTAACTAAAAAGGCCTTTTGCTATGTATTTTTTGTGTGTGAAAACACCGGGCTAATTATGCTATCAAACTTGTAATGTGCAATTTTCAAATTATGATTATAGTTTAATTTTGTTTGATATGAGTATATGATGATCCTATTCCGATATAATATTTTACGTATGAATTATTTTATTTCGTAAAACCATAATCCAAATGCTAGATGCATATAGTTTTAATGAAGCCTTTCGTTAATAGCCTATAAGCTTATAACATTATTTTAATATCATATTGTGTGTATATATTTGTGTAATCGTCCACGTATTTGACCATAATGAAACATTTATGACTAAAACGAACAGATAACAACTACACAAATCTGTGGAAGATATATAAAATAAATATAAACAGCAATTTGTTGGTTTGGAAACGGACATACGGCAATATTTTATGAACTGCAACGGTCCAAAATTAAATTAAAGTAATAAATAAAACTTTATGATTAAACAGAGGCAGATCTTTACGGGGAGCGCAGATCACTGAGAAAGAGTTAGATGGCCCATGTGCATGCATGAAGCTTCGCCGTGTCAATAGCTTCAACCTCTCCCTTTCCAATAGATTTATATTTACACCATATAATATACCAACCTATGCATACACACACGTGTATATATACATATATATGTGTAAATTATCAGTACACGTAATTTCACTGCATGGACAAGTGGAATCTAACCTTCAAGTTTTTACACTTGTGAACAAAATCTCGACTCATTGAATTCATTCAACGTACGCACATACACACCACGGGACAGAAAGAAACCGATCTCCCTTATCCCAAGACAAGATTCCTCTGGGTTTAAATATCGTAACAAAAAAAACTTTTTTTAATTACAAAAACAGAAGATTATAAAGAAGAATGGTAAGAAAACAAAGTTGGGTCAGACCATCTCTCTATCTCTCTCTCTCCATCTAAAGAACTCCGCCACCACCAAGGACTCTCTCTCTCTCTCTCTCCGGAGAAAAAAAGAAGAAGAGGAAAATGATAACGGGGAAGGATATGTACGATGTGTTAGCGGCGATGGTGCCGTTGTACGTGGCGATGATATTAGCGTATGGGTCGGTGAGGTGGTGGGGGATATTCACTCCCGACCAGTGCTCCGGCATCAACCGCTTCGTCGCCGTCTTTGCTGTCCCTCTCCTCTCTTTCCACTTCATCTCCTCCAACGACCCTTACCAAATGAACTACCACTTCCTCGCCGCCGATTCTCTCCAGAAACTCGTCATCCTCGTCGCCCTCTTCCTCTGGCAGGTCCGTCTCCTCTCTCTCTCTCTCTCCCGATAAAGAATGTACTAAGATTGGAAACCGAGACAATGCCCATGCCTTTCTCGAGACAATATAGTACATGTCGTTTATGTGGTCTTTGACTTTCTTGGGTTCGAACCATATCTCTAATCTCTGTATGTATTTCTCCCCAAAGGGCGTAGTGGTCAAAGTGATAGTGTAGGCCCATGCATTTATTGAAACTATATATGAAGTACATGTCGAAGTTTATTTGGTCTTTGACTTTCTTGGGTTCGAACCATATCTCTGAGGGAATAGCTTTTCATATTGAAATTTTTTGACCAATTAATAACCATATATGTTATAATTAACGAATGAAATTAAAGGCGTTCAGCCGGAGGGGAAGCTTGGAGTGGATGATAACGTTGTTCTCGCTGTCTACACTGCCGAACACGTTGGTAATGGGGATACCATTGCTTAGGGCAATGTACGGAGATTTTTCAGGCAACCTCATGGTTCAGATAGTTGTTCTACAGAGCATCATTTGGTACACTCTCATGCTGTTCATGTTCGAGTTCCGTGGCGCCAAGCTCCTCATCACCGAGCAGTTCCCTGAGACCGCCGGTTCCATTACGTCATTCCGCGTCGACTCTGACGTCATCTCCCTCAACGGCCGCGAACCCCTCCAGGTAAGCTTTTACGCATGCATGGCTTCTGGGTTCGATCCGTTCTGTACAATTAATTTCTCACAAAAGAAAAAAAAAATTAAACTCACTGTTTTTGGTAGGCGGACGCGGAGATAGGTGACGATGGAAAGCTGCATGTGGTGGTTCGAAGGTCGAGCGCTGCATCATCGATGATATCTTCCTTCAACAAATCCCATGGCGGAGGCCTCAACTCGTCCATGATCACTCCTCGAGCTTCTAACCTAACCGGGGTGGAGATTTACTCCGTCCAATCGTCACGTGAGCCGACGCCGAGGGCTTCCAGCTTCAACCAGAGCGATTTCTACGCAATGTTCAATGCCAGCAAGGCTCCTAGCCCTCGCCATGGCTACGCCTCGGGCGGAGGAGGAGGAGATGTGTATTCGCTTCAGTCGTCAAAGGGCGCGACCCCGAGAACGTCTAATTTCGATGAGGAAGTCATGAAATCGAAGAAAGGCAGGGGAGGGAGAAGCATGAGCGGTGAACTGTTCAACAACAATAGCGGTAAGTCTATTATACGAATATTTCTATATACATATAGTTTATCATTATATATTAATAAAATAAATGTGTATATATGGATGGCAGCTCCGTCGTATCCGCCTCCGAATCCGATGTTTACAGGGTCAACGAGTGGAAGTGGTGGAGTGAGGAAGAAGGAAAGCGGCGGAGGAGGAGGAGGAGGAGGACAGAACAACAACAAGGAACAACACATGTTCGTGTGGAGTTCAAGTGCTTCTCCTGTCTCTGAAGCCAACATGAGAAACGCCATGAATTCCGTCGATCCCTCCTCCCTCAAACCCCACGAGAATGCCGCCTCTAAAGGTTACTATATAATTATCTTTAATCAGTCTCATTATATTGTATCATTTATATGTTTTATTTTATAGTAGTAAATTTACCTCAGAGAAAAAGGTAATTTGCAGTTATTACAAGGGAAAATAACATATTAATATATTAATTTGTAAAAATAAAATCTCAATAAATATACCAATTTTCAATTTTTGAGAAAAATACATAAATTCTTCCTAATTCAAATATTGAAAATTGAAAAAAAAAATTCCTAATTCAAAATGATATGAAATGGAATGATGGGTTTTGATTTTTCAGCGATGCAGAATCTGATAGAGAACATGACGCCGGGAAGGAAAGGGGAAACGGAGGGAGAGAGCAAGGGAGGGGGAATTTCGTCACCCTACACG